ATTGATAAATTTGTTTCTGAGTTATGAATAATTTTTAAAAAGTCTAAAGTGTCCATTTTACCCCACCCTTCCCTATATCCAGGGTTCGTGAGGAGAATTTAAAAAGAATAAAAATATGGGGTGAACAGTCCAAATGTTGACGGGGGGGTCAATTAACGATCTATCGAATCGATTTTTTAAAAATCAAGTCGATATTTCCATCTATGATGTGAGGATATATTTGATGGTGTATCTGCTGTTTTATAATTTTTAAAACATAATTTTCGGCAGAGCTATTTTTTTTTCCTCAGAGCATTACTTATGCCACTTTGTAACGTTCGACCGAAATAATAGGTTCCAAAAGCATCCGATTTTCAATCAATTATTGTAAAAATCTAGGCAATGTTTCTCCATAATTCTTTCCGCTTAGCTATCCGTGCGTTTTAGAACAGGTGATTAGGACAATTAGAAAAACTGAACTCCATGCAGGTGCCCCATTCCGCGCGTAATATTTGAGAACTTTTGAGGAAATTGGAACGTTTCACACAGGACGTGCTACATAAGGTTTATCCCACAAGAATAAGAAAATTAACCACTAGGACTTGTATCCTACAAACGTATTTGGTAGTTTTGAAACGAGTTACTAACCAGTTTCAACGTGTCAGATGATTTCCCGTCCGTGGATTTTTCATTCACAGAGAAAAAGTTCTTCCTATCTAGGGCAGAGCTGTCTCCATCCGCTGAACTCTCATGAACATAATAAAGCTGTTGAGACGCTAAATTAATGTAGCATTAATTATCATTCGATGGATCAACGCCCATAATTACAACGCCGTGGCTATTCGCACTACCACGCGCAGCGTGTCACACGCGGAAATTCGTATAAGGGTCGGACAATAGTACAATACGCAGCGTGCCACACGCGGAAATTCATATAAGGGTCGGCCAATAGTACAATACGCAGCGTGTCACACGCAGAAATTCATATAAGGGTCGGCCAATAGTACAATATGCAGCGTTTCACACGCGGAAATTCATGTAAGGGTCGGACAATAGTACAATACGCAGCGTCTCACACGCAATGTCTCACACGCCGCGTGTCACACATGGAAATTCATATAAGGGTCGGACAATAGTACAATACGCAGCGTCTCACACGCAATGTCTCACACGCCGCGTGTCACACGCGGAAATTCGTATAAGGGTCGGACAATAGTACAATACGCAGCGTGCCACACGCGGAAATTCATATAAGGGTCGGCCAATAGTACAATACGCAGCGTGTCACACGCAGAAATTCATATAAGGGTCGGCCAATAGTACAATATGCAGCGTTTCACACGCGGAAATTCATGTAAGGGTCGGACAATAGTACAATACGCAGCGTCTCACACGCAATGTCTCACACGCCGCGTGTCACACATGGAAATTCATATAAGGGTCGGACAATAGTACAATACGCAGCGTTTCACACGCAACGTCTCACACGCCGCGTGTCACACGCGGAAATTCGTATAAGGGTCGGACAATAGTACAATACGCAGCGTGCCACACGCGGAAATTCATATAAGGGTCGGCCAATAGTACAATACGCAGCGTGTCACACGCAGAAATTCATATAAGGGTCGGACAATAGTACAATACGCAGCGTTTCACACGCGGAAATTCATGTAAGGGTCGGCCAATAGTACAATACGCAGCGTGTCACACGCGGAAATTCATATAAGGGTCGGCCAATAGTACAATGCGCAGCGTGTCACACGCGGAAATTCATATAAGGGTCGGACAATAGTACAATACGCAGCGTCTCACACGCAACGTCTCACACGCCGCGTGTCACACGCGGAAATTCGTATAAGGGTCGGACAATAGTACAATACGCAGCGTGCCACACGCGGAAATTCATATAAGGGTCGGCCAATAGTACAATACGCAGCGTGTCACACGCAGAAATTCATATAAGGGTCGGACAATAGTACAATACGCAGCGTCTCACACGCAATGTCTCACACGCCGCGTGTCACACGCGGAAATTCGTATAAGGGTCGGACAATAGTACAATACGCAGCGTGTCACACGCGGAAATTCATATAAGGGTCGGCCAATAGTACAATACGCAGCGTGTCACACGCAGAAATTCATATAAGGGTCGGCCAATAGTACAATATGCAGCGTTTCACACGCGGAAATTCATGTAAGGGTCGGACAATAGTACAATACGCAGCGTCTCACACGCAATGTCTCACACGCCGCGTGTCACACGCGGAAATTCGTATAAGGGTCGGACAATAGTACAATACGCAGCGTGTCACGCGGAAATTCATATAAGGGTCGGCCAATAGTACAATATGCAGCGTGTCACACGCGGAAATTCATATAAGGGTCGGCCAATAGTACAATATGCAGCGTGTCACACGCGGAAATTCATATAAGGGTCGGCCAATAGTACAATATGCAGCGTGTCACACGCGGAAATTCATATAAGGGTCGGCCAATAGTACAATATGCAGCGTGTCACACGCGGAAATTCATATAAGGGTCGGACAATAGTACAATACGCAGCGTCTCACACGCAATGTCTCACACGCCGCGTGTCACACATGGAAATTCGTATAAGGGTCGGACAATAGTACAATACGCAGCGTGTCACACGCGGAAATTCATATAAGGGTCGGCCAATAGTACAATACGCAGCGTGTCACGAGAGTGGGGTAAAACGGCCCCTTTTGACTTTTTTTGTGATACTCTTAACTCTGGAACAAATTCATTAATTGAGATCAGTCTAGGCTCATTCTAAAGGGGAAGAAGTGTAGTTTCCATAGAAAAAAATTATTCTATTTCATTTCACATTGAATGAGCTGTTAACATTTTTGAAAACATCAAAAGGGGCCGTTTTACCCCACTCACCCCTAACACAAAAAGTCCAAAATTTTAATTTGAACGATTACAAAGCTTCCATGCGGACGTAAAAAAATAAAAATAAATTTCAATTGATTGAAATGCATCCATCTCTCAATTTCAACCACTCGTGACATTAAAATCGAAAAAAATTTATAACAGATGGTTGTTTATTCCTTGCTGAATAAATTTGTTAAAAAACCTCTCAAACATATTGGAATCTTCGATGAATATGGCACACGCCCAGTGGCAAACGCGCCTGTTTTCTAACCCCTCTACCCCGTTTTGTATTGCGGTTCTCAGTACTCGCGACTTGTTCTGGCTTCAGTCATGCTAGTGAGGCTCACGCGGCCGCTGCTTCATCGCACCGGCGTGATAATGGAACTCATTCTTATCATATTCCGGTGTTTTTCACTTCCACGATGGAACCTCGAGATTTTGGAGTAATGAGAGACGAAATAAATCCTCGAGTGGTGAAAAAAAAATAATCAACTATTCTGAATTAATCGTTGCAATTGAATTTGATGAAATACAGTAATTTTGTCAGTTAAAAGTGAAGACTTTGTTGCTGTTTCAACAATTCTGTTAAAACATATGGACTAAAAGTTGTGGAAGAATATTGTCAAGTGTCACTCAATTATTCTGTTATCAGTGAGAGGTGATGTAAATATTTAAAGTTAGTGTCGCGACAATTGCTGATAATATGGATAACATGACAGTTCAATAAACAAATGGGCTTCGAGGTTTAAAGAAAAATAATTAAATCCAAAATTGAGTTGAGTGCATTCCCCTGACCTTGAGAGTATCTTATTTTTTTTTTCGCTGGACTCACGTTGTAATCCCGTTCCTCATGATTACAACCGTTAGTAGATTTCTGCTGTTTCCATTAGTTTTTATTAAAATTAGTGATGATAAATGGAGGGAAGAAGTGATTTTCATCTAGGTTGAACGGTTTTTTTTTCATCATCGTTTCGGTTTCTTTGGGAAGACTTTTTTTTTTTCGTTTTGATTATGAATTTGTGGTAATTGGGGTATAATCTCATTAACTTCTGCTCCATGACTGCAACATAATACAGATTCTCGGGTCGCGTGTCTCCTATTTTTAAGTTCGGTGTGACTGTTTTAGAGTGGGACATTCAAATGTCCCAGAAAATCGTAGTGGCACAGGTGGTTGAATGCCCTCGCGTTCAAATAAATCATTAGTTTCGGTGAAGCTCTATTGAATAAATGAATGATAAAATTATGAAATGGCTCACTGTTGAGTTTCTTGAACTCTTAACGTTCTATTTCAATAATTTATTAACAAAGTTAATGAATTATGAAATATCCCAAAAAAATTGCAAACTTAAATTTGAGAAGTAATTTTTTTTAATGTGAAGAATTTTCACTGGATAGAGGGACAAAAAGTTGGAGAAAAATTACAAAACAAGTCGACCGACGGCGGTGGCTGCGCTGATAGAAAGGATTAGTTATTGTCAACAAATGGATTTTATTGAAGCGTAGGGTCTATTCGGTCTCACCAAATTCATTCGTTAATAGTTAACAAATGCATATTTGAAAAGCCTTGTTTGACTCGACTTTTACCTTTCGAGTGAACCATCCGTTAACTAGTAACGAATATTTATTTGGTCATATTCAACTCTACCATTCGTTAATAGTTAACGAATCTCGTTTGGAATAAATGAATCATTCTATCAGTGTGTGTGGTTAGAGTGTGGGATTGGCATGCGGGAGACCCGGGTTCGATTCCCGGGGGGGGGATTTATGACACTCTAAATCTCACGGTTTCATTGTCGAGCGGAAGTCTCACAAATGAGGTTTTCCCTTGTCCTTCGGCGAATGAGGTACAGGGGGTTGGGGGGTGGAAAAGGGAACAAATCGTAAAGACCCGAAAGGGTATACGAAGAAAAAAAAATTACCAAACAAGTCAAGTAATCGCGGAGCAACCTCGATTTCCGTTTTTTTCTCACCTTAAATAGGAGAAAAGTGCGAGATTAATAGTGAATTTTACTCCGTTGGCCCAGGAAAAATTCCGTAATTTTTACTAAACATTTGTCTCCGTAAAACTCGTCACGATTTTCGAGGTAATTTTTATCCAACTTTTCTCTCCACGTAGCCGAAAATACGTAAAAAATGTTTGTTTATTCAAAAAATACAATCAATGTTGAGGCACTATGAAAGCATGTTAAATTAATACAAAACCAACCATGGCGTTGTTAGCATTATCAATGTAATCGACTATTGCATTTCAACTCTCCTCATATTTATTAGTTAAATAAATATCGACCGCGAAAGCAGCGGAAGCGAGAATGGCGAAAATTCCGCTGGCCAGCATTTGATCCAAGTACTGGTCAATGTTCGGTCCCAGCATATTCCTGTCGTATGTATCGTAATTGTGGAGGATTACTACGCCAGCACCCAGGCACAAGAGGGCTCCCAATGTTGTAAAACACATTGCCTGAGAATATCAATTAATTCAGTGATTAGCATTATTGAAAACTGTTCGGAATTGAGGATATCCACTGATAGAAAAAATCTCTGACACGTAGAGTACAAGTTCTTGGCTCAAGAAACTACATCATTCGCGCCGTTTTAACTGAATGAATTCTTCATGACTTTGGATCAAAGAAATAGGGGAACTTGGCATAAAGTATTAAATATTGGACGGAACGAGCAGGAAGTTTCGCGTGCATCATAATGCTTTCCATATTAGGTCAGACTCGCTGGCAAGAATCTCTTGGCGGAAAGTAATCTTGCTTACATTTAATATCAATCTGATGAAGTTTCTATTCTCTTGTGTGAAGAATTCGTACTTTTCGCTATAGATAATTCTGTTTTTCATGATTTTCGACAGAGGTGATAGGGTTTCCAATCAAGTAAATCGGTCCTGAGGGCACACATCTTCCTCTCAGAATATACTTCAATTAGGTAAAACTAAGAATCTCTTGTATCAAGAGATTCATGGTCAAAACCCCATTCTCTTGTCTCAAGAAACCACTTCTCTCGTGTCAGAGATTTTTTCTATCAGTGTCCAAGCTGTTCGGGCGACTTTGTTGAGGGGATTTTTTTTCAGTTTATGGAGTAGGCCAAGGGTATTTTTTAATCGCAATATCAAGTTTAGTTTCCGAATATTTTTTCGAGAAAACAGTTTAGGAAAAAATGAATGATCCCATCTTTAATCCCTCTCGGACGGCGCCCTTTTGACATTAACCGTTAAGTCTCCTCAGCACAAATTTGAAAATCATTATTGTTACAATAATTTTGGGCCATGTTTAGGTCAGCAGCAGTAAATACTCAAAAAAAAAATTTAAGTAATCAAAATTGCACTACGTTTCGAATGCTCTAAGCATTCCTCCTCAGGTGCATCATTTTATTCTACAGAAAACGAAATAAAAAACAAAATTAATAATTATAAATCTAAAAAACTATTGCCAGAACTCAACTGCAATTTACAAAAAAATTTCCAAAAAACCTCACCTAAAATATCATATACTCCAAGAAATTCATATTCCTCAAGCACTGACGCTATGCTATCGGTGCGGCAAATAAACAACAGCCGTAACCTAGAACTCATCCTCTTTCGTTTGAAAATCATAATTTTTTTGTTTAAACAGATAAAATAAATTACAAAAAAAAAACATTGAGAGTGGAATGCACTGTTAACATTTTCGTCTGAATTCTCCCCATCAAATCCCGGAAATTTTTATCATGTTTAATTTCCACTGATATTTCAGGAAATATTGTGATTGGAAAATCAAATATTCCATACATTTTCAGTTTGAATTATCGGAAAATCAGTAGAATGCTTGATTTTTCAGTTCAATCATTCCGTGAAAATTCGTTAAAATCCGGAAAATTTAATGAAAAATTAAAAATTCATATAATTTTGTTTCTGAATATTCATGTTTCATTGAAAATTCAATCAAGCTGTGAGCGTGGGGTAAAATGGATCATTTCAAAATTCACCGAATTCGATTATATTTTCAGGCAAATTTTTCAAACCTCAAACATTGAGGTAATTTATTTAATTTGCATTATTTGTTCAAAAAGTGTTGAAAATTGAAAAAAAATCCGTCTTCCGCTCATTTTCCTCACCATTTCCTCAATATTACTAACTGATAAATCACTTGATTGATTAGAATTCATTAAAAAAAAAACTGAAAGAGAATTTTTTTTAACATTTTTTTTTCATCTTTTTTTGTTTTAAATGTTCTCTCAGGAGACATTGAAAATAATAAAAAATCCTTACCATATTTTTCACCATTTTCTCACCGCACAGGTAACACACTATGACGATTGCGTTGATCATTATGTAGCCACACAGGGCTAGGTAAACAAGTCCCTTACAGTTGTTATCACTCATCATGTTGATTCCATTATTGATGGGATCGATGATTAATCCCAGGGAAATGACGCAGAACACCTGGGGAAGTAAATAAAATTGAATCGCCAAATAAGCGCCCAGGGAGCGCATGGAATGGAGAGAAAATACAGTGGAGTCTATATTTTCTCCCTGATATTGTTCATCTCCAAGGAAAATTTTCGAGGAAAAGGAATTATCTTTTTTCGCAAATAGCGTAATTTGATTTTCGTTCATTTCACGGAGAAAAATTTCTAGTAAAATTTACCCTACCGTATAGTAATCGTGTTGTATACTGGGTCTTAAGGAATTTTTACCCTGACATTGTGGTCAAAAATGCCATGAGTCTAGTAAAAATTACACTATTTTGAGTAAAAATTCCACAAAAATATTGTAATTTTTACTAGACTCTAGACAATGGTTTACTAGACTATGAGTCTAGTAAAAATTACACTATTTTGAGTAAAAATTCCACAAAAATATTGTAATTTTTACTAGACTCAGCACTTTTTACTACAATGTCAGGGTAAAAATTCCGTCAGAGCCAGTATACAACACGATTACTATATGCTAGGATAAATTTTACTAGAAATTTTTCTCCGTGTTCTTCATGCGAAAATCCAAAAAAAAAAAAATTCTGACACATTTGAGAAAGAATTGTTCATATTCCTAGAAAATCAATTAATAACGTTTCCCTTATTTAAAAAAAATTACGGGTATTGATGGGGTTACTTTGAAAGGTGACAGGAGATTGATAAAAAATTCAAAATTATTAAATGATTTTTCAAATTATTAAATGATGTATTTAGCTCCTTGACGGCTAAACGATCTATTTCAATAATAATTCCATAAAAATAAAATGTTCGAAATATGTGTATTTGCATTTGAAAAACGCTCTATGACGACCGACTCCACCATTAGCCTTTGAGTTGCCGAACAAAATGTCTCCGCGATGAAAAACGATTGTCATATCGTAGTGTTTGACAAATGTATGATCTCATTCCTGTGGAATTTTTATTACGTACGAGTTCAATAATTTTACAGAAAAACGGCGAATCCCTGAGGTATCCCCTGAGCCTCGTGCAAAAAGCGGACGGAGAATCACTTTCCTGAGCCATTTTTTTTCAATTTTCCGCAGTAGTTTTCACCACCACCACTGAATCTCACTCTCTTCACTAAAAAATAGAACAGAAATAGTTGAAATTGATGGTCCACTGAATGAGGAAATAATTTCACTGTATCTTCTCCCCTCACCCGTGAATTTGTGATCCTCCGCGGGGGAATCTTTCCACTCAAGTGTCAGAAATACTAGGCGGGGCGTTTTCTGTAACAGTCTAAGTCCCCACTTTCACGGCTATGAGTTCAGAAACGCCTAAGTGCACTTAATTCGTAATTGGGGTAATTCACACGTAAGCGATCTCGGGTCATAGTAGAAATGATGATGCATGAAGTTTTATTTTCAAATGTTACATCCTCTGATTTTGGTCTAAAAAAAGATCATCTTATGTCAGAGGATTTGTGATAATTGGCGATGATTTCATTTAGAATTTTTTCGCTAAATCCATACACCTAGAAAAATAGTTTATTTGAATTCAGTAGCGAAGTGGTAAAACGGTACAAGTCAGTTTTCACTATTTACCAGTTTCCAATGAATATCTCGGAATCTAAGGGAGATAGCAAAATTTTTATTATAACATTTTTTGAAGAGCCGATTGAGGGCTACAACAAATGTAATGACGAAAATTTCGCTATCTTCCTTAAATTCGGAAGTATTCCTCAAAAACTCAACTGGAAGATGAGTCGACTTAAACAGTTTAAATCGCATATTCGGATTTTTCAGACCGCATTTAGTTACCCTAACAAAAAAAAATGGAAACGTAAATTGCAGCAATTAAAAAGCTCTCGGAAGCAAAACCTATTTGGAAAATTCAACTCCAAGTTTAGGCACAATTTGTTGAAAATTGAAAAAAAATCCGTCTTCCGCTCATTTTCCTCACCATTTCCTCAATATTACTAACTGATAAATCACTTGATTGATTAAAATTCATTAAAAAAAAAAAAACAAAACTGAAAGAGAATTTTTTAAAACATTTTTTTTTCATCATTTTTTGTTTTAAATGTTCTCTCAGGAGACACGGAAAATAATAAAACGTCCTTACCATATTTTTCACCATTTTCTCACCGCTCCGGTAACACAGGATGACGATTGCGTTGGTCATTGTGTAGCCACACAGGGCTAGGTAAAAATTATGGATTAAAAAAAAAAGAAAATTTATGAAAATTAAAACAAATTGTGTGGAAATCTGTCAATTTAGTATGTCTTCTTCCATTAATTGACACATAGAGTGAACCGTGAAAGCTCTTCCTCTCATTTCTCATCATTCAATCAATTGCTTTCTCTCCGTTTACGGTTTGACGTTGAAAATACAATATTTTTCCAATGTACACGAGAGAGCGTCTTCGTACTAATATAAAGGTGCATAATATCACGGGCAATCTCTTTCTCCTTTGATTTATTATTGCAGGCCAAAGCGATAGTAGCGATCTGTATTTCTCCTCTATTCACACATTTTTCTCGTTTTAATGGCCAACTTTTTCCAATGATTGGAGAATAAATAAATAAATAAATAAATCATTCATTTTTCAATTGAACGTCAAAAATACGAGTCTGAGGTGCGTTTGCTGTGAGAAAATGGAATCAAATTACATCTTAGAGCTTTTTTCATTTTTTTCATGCAAGAAATGGGCATAAAATATGTGGAAAATTTGTCTGTTTCTTGAAAATGAAAAAAAAAACAATAAATGTGAAAAAATCGATGAAAGCAAATTCATTCAGGTTTTATAGGCATTCGTAATCTCCGAGAAAATCTCAATCGGAGAAACATGTTTATAATACAGATAAAATCTCTCGATGTAACACGTAAGTGTCAATAAGATTGTAAATAATGCAATTTTTTCATCCATTATCACACGTTGGATTTCAGTGCCAGGGGGAATAGCTGTTGATGTATCCTCGGGGTTACCTCAATCTATCTACCGATGAAAAATCAACTTTCTCTTTTGTAAAATCCAATTTCAAGAACAACTCAATTTTTCCATTTTCCTTTCCATTTTATTCAATTGATTATGTGTTGGTTGATCAATCGATTGATTTTTACACGGAGGGAAATATTCAGTAAAAATTAAGTATCTTTTCCGTAATTCCGGAGCGAAATGTGGCTGTAGGAAATTTTACGGAACTGTCACGGAATTTTTCCGGAGCGTTCCGTAATTTTTATCTGAATCTCTTGTGAAAAATTACGATACCGTCACTTAATCCCCCCCCCTAGTTATTTGAATTAAACCATTTGTTTGATTCAAATAAATTTTATTTAGTTCAAATAAAATGGTTTATTTCAAATAAAATAATTTTATCAACTTATTATTATTATTATTATTATTTTATTTAATCAAATAAAATTTATTTGAATCAAACAAATGGTTTAATTCAAATAAATAGGGAGAAAAAAGGTTTGGGGGGGAAAATCTTATTTTCTGAGTCGATTCCGTAATCGGTGAGTGAAGTGAGAGTTCCGTAATTTTTACTGAACATTTCTCTCCGTGTAATTGAATTTTTTCAATCGATTCTCCATTTTTCAACCTTTACCTTCATTTCGAATTGTTAATTTTTAAAAATTATTATTCTGTGAAATTTTTCGTTGAATAGAAACGATCGGTCTAGTTTGCTATTGGGTTCCAATTTTAAATCTAATTTCCGACGTTGGTAACGTCACGTAAACCCTGCGCCAACTTGGTGCTGGAAAAAAAAAGTAAAATACGCAAGTGGAATACTTAAAAATCCTTCACCTCAGATAATTAAATCCAATTGAAAAGAAAAATATGTAATACTCCCGCTCCCAATTGTGAGTGCATTAGTAACAAGGGGGAATTTAATTATACTCTGCGTGAGTGATAACTGCGAGTTGAATGGAATTTTTAAATGGTTACTTGGTGTGGGATGATGAGGCATCCGGAACAAACACTCACTATTTCCGATATAAATAAACTCAACTCCGTCAATCATCGTATCTCAGCAAGAATTAATTATCCAGAATTATTGTGATTTTTTGGCTTCGCAGAAACAATGCATTTGGAATCGTACACTGTTAGAAAATGACTCTTGAAATTTCAAGTAAAAATCTTGAAATTTTTAACAACGAATAATGTACATGGAATTTCCATTGATCTTGTTATTGATAAATCAGTAATGTTCTTGAATATTCAATGAAATTTGATTCCTCAGGTGCGTACGACAATGAAAATTACTGAAAATCATTCAAATTCAGGCAAATTTTGTTCTGAATTTTCAATCTGTTGCCTGATTTTCGCGATAGGTTTGAAAATCCAAATTGTTATTGAAAATTCAATGATCATTCGTAATGAAGAACTTAATTTTATTGAATTTCCAAGGTGAATCAGGAATTCCATGAGCAATTTAGTCTGAAATTGAATTCAAGTTCAGAATTATTAAAAATTAAAATGCATCTGTTACACAAATTTCAAAAAATTTCTAACAGTGTAGGCGACTAGAGTTATTTTGTGGGAGCTTTGTAATGGTTTAAATTGAAGTTTTGGATTGTTCGCTAATGAATGGATCGAATTGAATCTTTTTCTTCAAATGTAGGTATTGTTGAGCCCCATCAATCGCCGTTAATTGAAATTTAAGTCATCGATTAGTTTTTTTAAGTTTTGAATTTTTTCGAAAATCGGTTGTCCCACGATAACTAAAAAAAAGAATTGAGGTCGCATGAGGGTCAGGATCAGGGGCGTCTCCTGAATTTTTAAAGCTCATTATCTCTCGTTTGACTAGGGTGTTTCGACACAACACGTCATTTGGAGAACACAGAAACATGAAATATTTATTACAACAGCGTGACAGTGACGTTAATTTTCATATTGGGTATAGAATTTTTTTTTATTTTTCCGGGGAGTTTTAGAGATTTTTTGTCCCGCACTTTGAGAGGGTAAAATAACTCAATAGCGCTCCCAGTGATCGCAAGGGGAACTTGATTCCGGTGAGTTGACGTCATGATCCCAAAAAGTGTTCAAAATTAATGCGCTTTTAATCAGTCATTGCAAAATATCCAGAGCAATTTTCGGGAAATTGTTTACTCTGGATTGCTTCATGGACTGCAAAGACTATTCATTCAAAAATATTCGAAAACTGGACTCTGTAAGTTCCCTATAAACTTGGAAATTTTTCGAAATATCAGTGGAAATTGAAATTTTTAAAAAATTTCCGGGATTTGACAATTTGAAAATTTTTAACATTGAATTCAGTAGTGAAGCGGTAAACCGGATTAAGTCGATTTTGACTTTTGATCAGTTTTTGATGAATATCTCAGAACTTAAGAGAGATAGCAAAATTTTTTTCATGACCGTTTTTGTAGAACCAATTAAGGGCTATAAAAAGGTCATGACAAAAAATTTTCTATCCCTTTTAGATTCCGAGATATTCGTCAAAAACTGGCCAACAGTAAAAATCGACTTGACCCGGTTTACCGCTTCGCTACTGAATTAGACCGTTGATTGGGCACAAACTCAACCAGAATGCTTTTATTCACATCAACTTTCGTTCAGAATTTACTTCAAATTTAAAAATTTAAAAATTTGAATTAAAAAAAAATTCAAATAATGTTTGTGATACTTCAATGATTGCACAACGAATGTGAAGAAAAATCCATCCACAATCCACCCGGAATTTATAACAGATGTCAAGTAAGCTGAACAATTGGTCGTAAAATCCCACACGCGCAACCATGTGCAATGACTTCCGATCTGGAATGTTATTCCCTCTAGTGCTCTTATCGTCCACCTCGTACCCTTATTTTTCCCAATTTTTCTAAACCAATGTATCCCCAACACTGGTGCATATTGCCCGTGGGCCGATTGTGTTACCTCGCCCAAACAGGTTCGCTCACATGCATCACAGGATGAAGTGTTAAAAAAATGTAACAGTATGTGCGAGGGCGAACAGCCGACGAGTTTTCACATTCATTTTAGATTTGAAAGTGTCGGTGACTGTTGGAATATCATTTCCGTCCCTCCGTCGACAATTCCTCACTATTATTAAAAATGGAAATTCCACTGACACTTCGGTAGTAGTTTTGAGAGGAGGAAATTCATGGAATTTCAAATTCACTGAAAATTCAGGAATATTTTCACCTGTTTTTTTAAATTTCAATTAATTCTTATCAAGGAGTTGAACTGAAATTTCAGTGCATCTATCATTTCATAAAAAGTTCCAAGAAATGGATCTGAAATTTCAGTCAATTAAAAATTATTGATTTTTCATTTTTTCATCAAATCGTAAAAAACCGAAAAACCAATTTTTAATCATCCGAGAAAAATACTGATATCTTAATCCCGAGCAAGTCTCGATAGTTTTCCCCAAGTTTTGAATTTCAAATTTCCCAAACGAACACTCGATATCGACAAAGTAACCGGTGAAAGCTCAAACGTGAATCAATTCCCTCAATCCCCCAGGAACGGATCCACTTGATAATAGAAACGAATTTGATATTCCATGACATTGACGACAATTTCTCTCCGCGAAGCTGTACCACCCGAGAGTAATTCAGGGCATCACCTCCCCGTGACATCCAAATCTCAACATCTAATCAATTATCGTCAACTGACGGTAAAAAAACGTAAAAATTCTGAATGATAGACACCTTATCTTCCGCAGAAAAAAAAGCGATTCCCCCCCTCGAAATCTCTGTGAAGTCCAGTGGAGATGGATTACAACAAGTTCCGGCCACTTTCTATACCTATAAAGAATGAAATTCACTCAGTGCTAGTCATTAACCAGAAACCGGTAGTTGATTTCAGCTTTCCACCCCTTCTCCCATGGGAATCCAAGCGACATAGATTGATAAAACTCCCACAACATGCTTTCATTAGATCACGTTGCCCATTTATCATCGAAATTCAATAAGATTGAAACCTAGATGTCAATCACGTCACTAGGATTGTGAGAATTCTTACTGATAAGTTCAGTCGACTCACCGTATAAGAACCTTTTTATAAGACATTTCTTAGAAGATACCCAGGGCCGCGATAATTTTTTAACGAAAAAAGAGCGATCATAAGGTTCAACCGGTCTTAAGGGTCACGCAGGGTCATGCATTTCATCCTGAGGGTCAAACGTGGCAGAAGAACGAAGTAGTAATATGGATCCAACAGCCCCAAGAGTCAACGCTCTGTCTCGACACTTCTAGCCATTTGACCCTTAGGATCACTCCACTTGCCTCTTCCGTTTGGCCCTTAAGACTGTTTGATTCCCGGATTTCCATCACGTTTCTATCCCCTGAGATTATGTTTAAAGAAAATAAAAGAGGACAACATAAAGTAATAGCATTAAAGTCCTCACGTAGTCATTAATTATCAATGCCAATCGAGTAGAGATAGGAAATTCTTCAAATGAGAGAGAGCAGCAAAGAAGGTGTCTTATATCAAGAGTCGACTGTTCTTGCAGACCACAGAAAGCTTGTGAACACCATCCAGAGAAAACCCTTACCAACCAAGACTTACACCCCATAAGCGTAAAAGTTGCAAGTGATATAATGACAAATTTGAGCAAGAACATTACCCGTGTAGCAGTATGTGGCTCAAATAAATGTGAAAAATCGTGACATACGGTTAAAGACGAGTCGGACATGTCAAAGGTCGTCACGACTGATTCCGGATGTTCTCTAAAGTGGAATGATGATAGCTCAAACTCCAAGCCATCATCATTGAGACATCTTATTCATGCCGCTGCCATTTATCTAGCCGTTATTGGTGCTTTGTGGTGTGTCCCCGCCTGTTTCTATAATCGGTGAGAACTCCCTCGAAAGAATTCAAGATTCCTCCAAAAGTCATTCTGACCTATTCATCCCATGACATACTATTTGAACATGAATTGTTCGATTAGGAAATTATGATAAACGCTTGCTTATTCAATCATCCCATCATTATGATTCCAGAATATCTGAAACCGGTCAATCAGTCGTCCTAACTCTCGTAGACACAGCCTCGGCGGAGCTGCAGAATCTGGCGGAACCCCACCTGTCCTCCGAGGCCCCATCAATACCATCAACGAAGAACCTAACAGTGCCTCCATCGACAGCACTAGACCCCGAGACGACAATAACGCTTTCATCGCCAGGAGTGGTCCGTCCGCCATCAGTATCTACGCTTCTCCTAGCAGCCGAAGGCCTCAACTTGACAGATCCAAAGGCCACAGAGCCGACGCCTCATGAGCCAGATCAAGTCCTGGTTGTCCGAGCAGATCAACGACCGCTGGAGGACACAATCCAAAATTCTGGAGACCCTCCGCTCGACCATGAAGTGGCAAAAGACCCCGAGGATCCGCCGAGCACTGAGGACTCCCTTCCAGCCTCTGGAGAACTGGAGGAGGCAGCCCGAGGGAAGCTCGTCACCGGAAGCCTTGAGGAGGCAACCGCGGTCGTTCTGGATAGTGTCGTAGGATCAGGCGCCTCAGAGCCACACGAGGACATTCCGTCCTTCAGCGAGTGGACGCAAAAGCGTCTGGAGGAGGCGGAAAAGAAGAAGACACATCCCAACGCCTCCATCCAGAACCAACCTGGCAATCCAGGCAGAAACATCGGAAGCATGAAGGTAAGATCAAAAAATTACGCATCACCAGATTGCGGTGCTAAAATCGTTGCCGCCAATCCTGAAGCGAGAAGTGCCAGGAGCATTCTAGTATCCACCAGGGACGAGTACATGCTCAATACTTGCACATCAAGAGTTTGGTTTGTCGTTGAATTGTGCGAAGCTATACAAGCCAAGAAAATTGAACTCGCCAACTTTGAACTCTTCAGTTCGTCCCCCAAAGATCTGTCAGTTTTCGTAAGCGATCGGTTTCCAACTAGGGACTGGAGCCCCGTCGGCCAATTCACAGCTAAAGACGAGAGAGACATTCAATCTTTCGCTCTTCATCCCCATCTTTTCGGCAAATTCATTAAGATTGAGTTGCACTCGCATTACGGAAGCGAACACTTCTGTCCGATATCGTTGTTCCGAGCGTATGGAACTAGTGAGTTCGAGGTCCTTGAAACTGAGACTGAGATTCAGGAGGCCTCAGGGCGTGATGATGAGGATGACGATGAGGAGGTGTTAGATAACGATGGGGGGGATTCTTCGAGGAATCTCTTCGGTTCCGCGACAGATGTTGTCATTGGAATCGTCAAGAAAGCGGCTGAGGTCCTGGTGAAAACTGGCGATCCTGCTCAGAGCAATGTCACTGACCAAGAGAGTATCGGGGAAAATATCACGTTATTATTCGCTAATTGCATGACACCGAGGTACACAATACTGTGTAACAATTGTACGGACGACAAGATCGCTCGGGTGTATGAGTTACTGAGCTGTCGAATCCATCAGTTGGATTCGATTCTGAAGATTCCATTCGTCATGCAAACGCTGCATGACGAACTCTGCAGTTCTCATGGGGTAGATATTTCGGAGCAATCGAAAAAGAAGATGGATGGTAAAGTTTCATCGTGGAATTTCAAAAACATGGGCTCCGCTTTCGCTTCAGTATTTTCTTCGGAATATGTCATAGCTCTTTGCAATGTCCTAGCAATAGAGGAGCGGAAGTCACTGGCGATACCGAGCCTCGAGGATTCCGGAAAGACTGTTAACACAACTTCGAACGAGACAAACTCATACAAATCAACCAAAGAGAGTTCTGCATCAACTCAAACAACATCTGCTTGTCTGCAAGACTCGGACGGCTTGAACTGTCGACCAACGCCTACAGTGACCAAACGGCACTCCGTTGATTCGGCGATCGAAGAAGACTTGAACAAAGATGTAAAGCCTCCAGGCACCATTGAGATAATAGCAACCCCGGAGATCCTGGCTTCTCAGATAAAGCCCACGAAGACTCTGGGCAAAGAGGACCTCAAGCGCGAGTCGTCAGTGCCAATTCTCGAACCAAGTAAAGACGCCACTGAGGAGACAGTTCAAGCAGAAGTCGTGACGACGCCCTCGCCCTTGATAAACCCCACATCTTCGCTAAAGGTTCTTGAGGAATCTCCGATTGTCACACCACTGGACGTCACGACTCAGACAACATACTCCCAGACGACAAATCCCACGAGTCAGGAGAGCACACCCGAGGCTACTCCACCAAAGACAGATGAAGCGCCGAAATCAGAATACAGTCAAGTCAGGCTAGAGGAGAAAGACGAGAAGCTCAAGGAGTCAGAGGAGCTGAAGCTGTCCCCCCAGGATCAGCTGAGCCTAGACACGCTTCTTTCCGACTTGAAGGATCTGGAGAGTGACTCCCCGATCCCGGGTTTAGCCAGCAATCCAGCGACCGTGACGTACCCCACCGCGAGTTCAACTCCACAGCAGAAAGAGTCGGTCTTCCTGAGGCTGTCGAACAGGATCAAGGCTTTGGAGCGCAACATGTCGCTGAGTGGTCAGTACCTCGAGGAGCTGAGTCGAAGGTACAAGAAACAAGTTGAGGAGATGCAGAGGTCTTTGGAGCGTGCGACAGCAGCGATGGGTGAGGAGTCCCGAAAGGGTGAGGAGAGGGAGTCGAGGAGATTGGAGGAGATTACAGCCCTCAGAGAGGAAGTGACTAGTCTGTCGGAATCACTCGAGACGCTGCTGTACGATCACAACAGCTGGCGAAGCAAGCTGTCGACATTCGGCCAACACATCATCTTCATCTTCGTTGAGCTTGTCGTTCTTGTCATCATTATCTCGTACTGCAGAAGATCGACGGATCTCGATGACGAGTTCCCCAGCAAGGTATCGGTGAAAGAGGTGACAAGACGCAAATCCGCCGAGTCCATGAGCCCAAACTCGCCGAAGGCGGCTAAGAAACGAAGACCCAGTGAGATTGCGTCCAAGATCACGGGGACTTATCGGGAGCTCATGATTGACGATCGAGCCGAGTCGAGGAAGGAGCGGAAGAAGAAGAGGAAGAGGGACTCCTTGATGAGGCTGACCACGAGTTTCGACTCGAGACGGGATAATCCGAAGGCCATTCTACCGTCGAGGAGATCATCCTCGATCGATTGTGGGAGTTACAGTAAAGTTGAGGAGTTGCAGGGGAGGCGTCGACCGGACTCGGCGCCCGATTCCTACGAGTGGAGCATCGATCGAGGGAAGGATGACGATGAGGGGAGGATTAATGGTGTTCCTCAGCATCGAATTGTCGTCGAGGAGATCGATGGCTTGAGTCGTTCCAACTACATCGTGGATGGTTTCATCGAGCGATTGTCTAGTGAATCGAAGGACTGCGGCGATCAGGTGTTGAGGAGTCCCTCCTCCAGGGGCATCAGTATCTTGAAAAATCGCCTTAATTCCCCGTCTTTCATCAAGACAGCCCTCAAATCACGGAGTCTGAGGGGTGATAAACACATCAATGAGGCCAATTCGCCGTTCTTGAGATCGGACAATTGGGAGTGGTACTCCAGAAACTCGGGTAGCTCTCGGTCTGATCAGGACAGTCCTCTTGGCAGCAACAATCAGTATATTGATGTCATAAGGAGTGACAGTAGAAACGGCAGCTCTGCCAATGGTCATCACGGTGTCAGTGATGACTCTGGCAGTGGTAGTAACACACCAACACCGGGTAAGAAGAAGAAAGAGGGTGGGTTCAAAAAAATTGTCAAGAAATTCTTCTGATTACCGTGAATGATATTCAAGGAGGTCAATCTCAGATGCGAATTTTCTACTTTTGCGAGCAACTTTTTTTTGTAAGACACTTTTGTTTTTCGAGGGGAAGAGATTAGGGAGCTTTTTTAATGTAGGTAGGAATCAATTTTTCAACTGTTGGAGGGGTTAACCAAAGAGGAAAATCGTGAAAGTATGGATGATTGTTGATGAAGAGTTTCGGGTGTTGAATGGAGGTTGTGGTGATGAAAATTATTGGGCGATTACTGGAGATGATGATAATTACAGTCGACTCGCTGTATAAGATATCCATAGCCCGGGCCAGTCTCTAGTGAAAGGAGAGGGAAATCATCTTATACGAAATCTATCGGAATCTATCTTATACGAAATATCTGGTTTCTATTTTTTTTTTAATTCCTCTCCCACTGTCCCTAATGTATCTTATATGAAGAGTTATTCGTATTGTAAGAGATACAATCCACTGTATAAGATAACGAAAGAAAAGTTATCATAAGGATCAAATGACCTTAAGATCCTAATGATATTAAGGATCAAACGTTCTCAAGGGTCCCTCTGCACCCTTAAAACTGTTCGATTCCAGTTTGTCCATCATGGGGAGTCATGTTTGAAAAAAAGGGAAAAAAACGATGGAATAAAAGTATTTAAACATGCGTGAATAATTAATTATCCAATTATATCAGTTATTAGAGGAAAAAACTTCATCGAATGAGAAAAAGTAGGGGATATCATATATAATGAGTCGATTGTATTGTGATCGAGATAATCAAACGCACGAAAAAATTTAATAGAAAAATATAGCGAATTCACTAGACTATTCTATTGGATTTGTATTGAACTTTCTAAGTTTTTGTTATTCTATTTTTCTTTTCTCTTTATCAAGAAAATCAAACAAAAAAAACTTTGGAAAATTTGAGCCGCGGAAATTTTACAGAAAATATCTCGATAGAAGACGTTGTACAGAAAAATCGAATTCTATTGACTTTTTCAAGAGAATATTTTCTATTAAACATTTCAATAGAAATCTGATAAAATTTCCTAGGGAATTCGATAGTCAGATTTTTCTAATAAATTTTTTAATACGTGCAATTCTGAAAAAAAATGGCGACTGAGGTTTCGGACATAATCTCTTTCTTGAAGAGCATGGTGTGAGAATATGAATCACCCAATCGTCTTCCCAACGCACTTACGCACAAAAAACCACCCCCGAAGGCTTTCAAAAATTGTACTACTCTTGTACTCAAGTTTACACATCAGGCCTCAGTCGTTACAAATCCATCAGCAAAAATACACGAGGAAGTGGCCACTGCGTGTGTAAGACGAAAGTGAATAACGACACGTGGAAAAAAAAAAGAAGACAGATATCAGGAGACGACAATGCGTCTGAAATACTTAATGTGCATTTATCGAATATTCATTAATGAAAATGAAGTTTTAATATTTAATTCGATGTACAGGGTGTCCCATAGCATGTGACCAAAGTAAATTGCAAATAACTTGGATACAGTAATAAAATGTAAATAATTGTTCTTTTTTTATTGTACAAGGAACATTCGGCAAATTAAGGGTGTCCCATAGCATGTGACCAAAGTAAATTGCGTAGAATACCGCAAGGTGGCAGTGCAGTCTAAAGTCTAATTTATGGTTGAAATGGAGACTCTCCACAAATTTCATTCATGCTTCAGTCGCTCGGGAATTGCAGCACTAAAATGGAAAATTTAACCATCGAACAAAAATCATTCCTCATCAAGTCATATTACCGAAAAGGAGATTCAGCTACTGCTATAAGAGCTATAAGAGCATTTCATTCTAAGTATGGCACACACGCTGGAGTGTCTGATTCGAGTCTCAAACGGTAGATAAAGTGAATGAACTAACTAACCTTTTGTTTTTAAACTTCCATCCCTACAAAATTTCTGTACATCAATTTTTAAGTGAGGAGGCAATGGCTCGCCGTGTACAATTTTGCTAAGAACTTCACAATTTTTTTGAATCCAAGGAAATGAAGGAACAGAATATCATCTTCTCGGACGAAGCACATGTCTACTTAGGTGGCTTAGTACATAAACAAAATTTTCGCTTTTGGGGGACTGAGTCACCTCACGTTATTGAAACCAAGTCCTCACACCCGAAAAAAGTCACTGCATGGGCGGCAATTACAATAAAAGGTATATTCCTTGAGTTTATTGTGAGTCCGACAATCAATGCTGATATTTACTGTGAGTTCTTGAAGAAGAACTTCTTTCCTTGAGCACGATAAAATCAGTTAGTCAAGATTTTCTACTTCATGCAAAATGGTGCCGCCCAACACAGGACTGCTGGAGTATTTGAAGTACTTTTTTTCGTTTACGGCACTCGTGTGTTAGGCTTAGGTTACCCTAAGTATGCCTATGGGGGCATGGAATGACCGCCTTACAGTCCGGACTTGAATCCCTGCGATTTTTGCCTATGGGGTTTTCTCAAGGACAATTGCTATGAGAAACATTCGACGACGATGGGAAAGTTGCAAGACGCAATTAGGCATGCTATCCGAGCTGTTCATAAAAACAGAATACAGCGCATCTATACCGAACGCAGGATAGAGTTCTGTAGTACAAGTGATGGCGGACACTTGGAAGGAATTGTATTGTAATTTGCCGAATGTTCCTTGTGCAATAAAAAAAGAACAATTATTTACATTTTACTGTATCCAAGTTATTTGCAATTTACTTTGGTCACATGCTATGGGACACCCTGACAATTCCTTCCAAGTGTCCGCCATCACTTGTACTACAGAACTCTATCCTGCGTTCGAAACTGGTATAGATGCGCTGTATTGTGTTTTTATCAACAGCTCGGATAGCATCCCTAATTGCGTCTTGCAACTCTCCCACCGTCGTCGGATGCTTCTCATAGCACTTGTCCTTGAGAAAACCCCATAGGCAGTAAATATCAGCACTGACTGTTGGACTCTCCATAAATTCAAGGAAAATACCTTTTATTGTAATTGCCACCGATGCAGTGACTTTTTTCGGGTGTGAGGACTTGGTTTTAATAACGTGAGGTGACTCAGTCCCCCAAAAGCGAAAATTTTGTTTATTTACTAAGCCACCTAAGTAAAAATGTGCTTCGTCCGAGATGATATTCTGTGCCTTCATTTCCTTGGATTCAAAAAAATTGTGAAGTTCTTGGCAAAATTGCACACGGCGAGCCATCGCCTCCTCACTTAAAAATTGATGTACAGAAATTTTGTAGGGATGGAAGTTTAAAAATACTTTCAAGATGCGGTGAAGTGAAGTTTTTGAGACTTTCAAGGTTTGAGAAGCCTTTCGAAGAGTATCATTTGAATATTTTTTGAAATGTTCTTCAGTTGTGCGGACAACTTCATCCGTGGTTACAGTACGTGAAGGACCAGGATGGCCATGCCTTCTATCGTCTAGTGTACCGTACTGATCAAATTTCTTAATTATCCTGAAAATACCCATAATTGGTCGAAAATGCGTCAATTTTCAATAAAAGAAGAAAAAATTTTTCGGTTAGTTCATTCACTTCATCTACCGTTTGAGACTCGAATCAGACACTCCAGTGTGTGTGCCATACTTGGAATGAAATGTTCTTATAGCTGCAGTAGCTGAATCTCCTTTTCGGCAATATGATTTGATGAGGAATGATTTTTGTTCGATGGTTAAATTTTCCATTTTAGTGCTACAATTCCCGTCCGACTGAAGCATGAATGAAATTTGCGGAGAGTCTCCACTTCAACCATATATTAGACTTTAGATTGCACTGCCACCTTGTGTTATTCTACGCTATTTATTTGGTCACACGCTATGGGACACCCTCATGAGGTACATCGGAGTCCATCAATAATGAACTGAAAGTAAAAAATAAAAAATTCATTCGATCTTGAAGCGTAATATTCATCGTTAGATTTTTTAGATCACTGGTGATAAATTCAGTAGCGAAGCGGTAAAACCATTTACGTCGACTTATAATTAGAGATATAGCGAAATTTTCGTAATTATCTTTTTCGTAGCTCTCAATTCGCTCTATAAAAAAGATGTTGACAAAAATTTTGCTATATGCCTTAGACTTCGAGATATTCGTTGAAAATTGACCAATATGCAAAATCGAATTGAACTGTTTTCCGGCTACTGAATTATTCGAAGATTAGGGTCTTCATTGCCACGCCGAGAGAGAAATCGACATAATACAAGAAAAATAATTTCTTGAGAAGGTTCTTGCTTGTGTAAAATCTGTATTCTTTCAATATAAAAGTCTCTGATCTGAGCTTTTAGAATTTTTAGTAACTTTCTCATCATTTGCCACGAGGTAAGTGATTTCTTGGGGCAAGAAATTCTCACTTTATCGCCAAGTGTTCGTGTTCAAGTTGTGAACATTTCACAGAATTATTATCCCAAACGTTTTATCCTTAAGAGATGAGAGATTTGACGTAAGAGATTAGTTTTGTGATATAATGTCGATATTTCCCTCAATGCGTAGAGAGTATCATCAATTTTATGAAGTTGTCACGAAAAAAAAGATCGTTTTAACGACGCAAATTGAGAGATATGTTACGTATCCTAGTCGATATTTAATAGGTCATATCGTGAGATGTATGAATCATAAGGCCCCACCCACCGAGTGTAAGAATTCATTTTTGTAAATATACAAATAAAAAATTCTCGAGGGGTCTGAAGATGAAAAATTTGTCATTTTTCAATTGATCTAAGTTCTAGGCACTTGTATGAGATATAAACAACTAGGATTACACTATTTATTACTTTCTAAGGCTGTTACCTAGTTTAACGAGCTTTTTTTAATGAATGAAATTTTTTAAAATCATTTCTTTCATTTGTTTATTTATTAACGCTAGGTAATAGTCATTGATTTTTTATGTAGGAAAAAATTGTTTGAAGGTGATGACGTTTAATTAGTTGAAAATGTTTACAGTGATGAATTTGTATTATCGAGAGTATTTTTGCTTTTGCGAGTGGTTGAATGTTTATCATGTTGTAAAACAATCTGTATATATTCGGCAATGTTACGTTAATGGATTGAATGGATGCTTTGTGCTGCCAGGAAAATACGGAGGTGATGGAATGAAACAATAAAGTTGCCAAATGTATAAATGACTCTGTTTATTCATCTCCCTTCACACAAAATATAACTTTCTAACATAGATTTCTACACTACGATTCAATCGTCAAACCATCCAGGAGTTCTGTAACGTCTACTACATCAGAATTCAACAGTTTTTTCTTCTTCACAATTTCATTCAAATGTTCAGCCGAAGTTTTCCAATTTCTCGTCCACTCATCGTTCTTCGTAACCTTCGAGCACATCAGAATCTCATTAACAATATTCTCCATTTTCATCGAAGCTATGGACACAAATGTTCTCTTCAGATCATCAAGAACCCCCGGTCTGAGTTGCTTATTCCTGCAGACTAAATTCAGAACAAAAAGCCCATCTTCATTCAGACATTTCGAGACATTATTCAGAACACAATTCCCCAGAAATTGTTGCGGTGGACAACTCATCCCCACTGAGGAATCTTTACTGTCGACATCGAACAAAATTGCGTCAAACTTCTTCCCCCCGTTGGCAGTCTCTTCCAGGAATTTGACTCCATCACGAATGACAACTTTCATCTTATCATCAATGACGAAGTCAAACCACTCAGTTGCGATCTTCAGCATCATCTCGTCGATGTCGACAGCTGTGACCCTCAGCATGGGAAAACAGTGTCGGAGGAAGAGGCAGAGGCCACCCCCTCCCAACCCCACGACTAGAATCTCAGCGTCAGTCTTGTTCCGAAGTATTTCGTTGACCCCCACTGACATGAAGGCGTGATGTTCACAGGCCAGAGCCCCAGGATCAACGACATTCTTCACCTTTCCCCTCCTGGTCTTGATGGATCGTATTTTGGCTTCACTCTGGACCACGAACTGATTGTCGAGGAACACCAGACGACGGGATCGCGTCTTCTCGTCGTCGTCTAGCACGTCCTCGATGACGAATTTTCCACTCAACTTGCTCTCGCCTTCGTGGAGAATCTCTCGCCTGCCGACGTCAACCCCGAGAGACAGGTAGTCGATTTTGTAATTGTGGGGGAGGCCTGGGGGCGAGAGGTTCTTTATACTCGGCCCTAACTCGGCTTTCACCTGGTCCCAGTCTGAGAATTTGTGATCTCGACGGAGGATTACGATTGCCACGCGGTCTTTGTCTACGCTGGAGAGAAAATGCCTCCTTCCTTCTGGGGTTCCGAACAACCAGTCTGTGTCTCTGGGGACAGAGTGGAAGTACACTGAGAAAAAAAGTACTTACTTTTGCCAAGAAATTATTTCATTGCGAATTCATGTTTCAGTCAGGGAGAGCCATATTCATAAATCATAATTACCGTTAAATTTTGAAGCCGCCAATTAGTTAACACCACTTTAAACTTTTAATTATTCATAATTTAAGTAATCATTTAAATAATCATCAATTTAAGTATTCAAATTTTGAATTATTTTATTAACCAACAATTTAAGTAGGAAAATTGCCGATTATTTGGATCGATAATCCCTTTTAAGAAGTTAAAAGTATCTTATAAGATTGAAATCTATAAAAAATCGCGAACAATTGGAAAAAATAAATAATAATTTCATGTCCAATTGTTTAAAAAATAATTGAAGAATTTTATGCATCAATTTTTACACTCATCAAAGTTAGAGTTAATGGAAAATATTGAATTAAATACCGAGAACATTCAGATTGCAACTTACCGGCCTTGAGGCACCAGGAAAGCCGCATAACTCTTCCCCTTTGTGGAGGGTCGATCGAGGACATAAATCGTGTACCTCGGACTGTCATTTCCAGGTATGTATAAATCCAAATTTACTTCCCCAACGTCAGCCACACTTTTTTTCTGCAGTCTATCGCACACCAGGGCAGATTGTTGAACGGATAGAACGGAGTTTATGAATTCTTCTGGCGTGGATATTCGAACTGGGGGACCGTCTGTGAGGGATAATTCCAATATCTGATGGAAATTGAGAGTAAATAATTGAGGATTCAGAATTAGAGGGAAAGGGATTGTAAACAGTGTTGATTACATTCTTTTTCTAATAAAGAACAAGAATGGATGTTGTTATAATATTTTTCATGCTTCGAAGCTAGTTGCAAGCCCAGTCGACTCTTTATATAAAATATATTTTAAAATTGTTGTAGAGAAAACGCTAAATATAATTCAACAGCGAATTGGTAAAGTCGATTTAGCTAATAATCAGAATTAACTTGAATCGTTCTATGCTTTTACTACTGAATTTGAATAATTGAAATAATAAAATAATTCCGTACAAATTTTCATTAAAAATTTCCTTAATTGACTAAATTTCTGTATTTTTTGTGAATATGCATGGAATTCTGTGGAATTTGCATGGAAAAATACCGAACTTTGAATAGAAATTTCCAAAAAGTTAACAGAATTCTCAGTTGATATTTAATGACCCCACGTATTGAAAATACACGAAATAAAAATCCTATGTAAGTATTCCCTCACTTTCTGCGTAATCCCAGGAAATTTAGTTGCCATAATAACAAAAACTGGTATTGCACTGCCTTCTTGCTCTCTCGTTTTGTTCTCTGCCTCGTGGCATCGGGTTATACGAAGCATGTAGTTTGGGCTGGAGAAGTAAGCTACTATTTTTCTGAGAATATGCTCCTGAAGAAGGGAAATGCATATGTATCTTCCTCCTCTTCGCAGTACCCTTGATATTTCCTGAGGTGAAGTCACAGAAAAAAATTGATGATTAGGAAATATTCTGAAGCGTCGTGCACGGAAAACTTTCATAGAAGAACCTGGCGAATTCAATAATAAATTCTATTGAATTTCTAGGGAACTTGTGTTCAAAAAGTCATTAATTGTCGACCGATTTTATTTCACAATTTCGCAGCTTTACTTCGCGCTTTTTTAATAAATATGCGTAAGAGAAAAATTGAAAGGCAATTTTTTCTATTGAGATATTTTCTATAAGATCTCTTTAACATGAATTTTTTGAATTTGTTAGATTCAACTTCTCTTGTCTTTACATTTAAAAAAATGAAAGAAACTTTCAAAATAAAAATTTGGGGCCGATGAATTTCTATAGAAAATATCTCAATGGACAAAAAACGCGCAGATGAGTTCAATAGAAATCGAACAGAATTTTCTTCTATGAATTTTTTGATTATTGTCATAAATGAATACCAACGTCGAAAAACCTGTTTATCCTGAGAATAGTGTCTTTATTGGTGTCAGGCATGAGAGCGTCGAGAGTTCCTTTGTCCAGTACGACCGAAAAATTTTCATTTGAATATGTGGTCTGTGTTGCGTCCATCTGTTCAAATACTAGATCCGGACGATCTATCCTATTTTTGTCCCTCATCTGGTCGATTACTATTTTTGATATATCGATACTTGTTACATTGCTGGAAATAAATTACTCCGCATTTTCAAGGGATTTAGTCTCAATATATTGATGAAAGTCGTAATAAAAATATTTAATGGAACGAAAATTCAACAGATTTACTGTTTTCAAGACAATCTATTGTGTTGAATGTATACTCCTGTTAAAAAGATCTGAACACAGAATGAGTTTTTCAAAATCCAAGAAAAAAAAATTGGAAAATTTGTGTCCAGACATTTCTGTGTAAAAAATATGAATAGAATGATGAATTCAATGGAAAAATCGAAGTCTGTTGATTCTTCTCTATCGAAAATGTGTCTATAAAACAATGTCTACATTGAAATATGTTTTTATAAAATAATGATGAAGTGCATTTAAGGATTTTATTAAAATTTATTTATTTAAAATTTTTTTAAAATTTAAAAATGAAAAAACTTCAAAAACTTGAAAATTGAAAAATAAGATTTTCACTGTGATATAAAAAATACAGTACCCTGCTATTACTAAGTGCAAACTTTGTATCTATATATCTAGAACTTGTGCTAATCACAACTAAATTGAATGTAATTTACTTTGACCTAATTTAGTTTAATAATTTTCAAGTGCAATTCTCTGTCGGGGTTTCATTGTAGGGATGGGAACAAAATGTAAAGGCCCGAGAGGGTATACATATGACGAAATAAATAAGTAATGATGAAGTGCTACGAAATTTTTAACGGAAATCAGCAAAAAAACTAATGAAATTTTCAGTAGATTAAAAAAAATTCCGCAGAAGTTCATCTAGCTTCTTCTTCAACTGTTTCAATCGTTCATTATACATTACCTGTATCCAACATCATACAAATCCATACTCAGGGTCGAATTACCACAGCCGACGACCAACACATCATCTTTAGGCTTTATAAATTTGGATAATTGTCCGCATAATTCCGGATACTCCCCATACCTTAAAAGCAATTATTTTCATGTTAATTTTATTGTCGAATAAAACGGAAACTCCAGACTTTTTTTCAAATGCTAAAAACCTATTCAATTGTTGATGCAATGGAATTTTTGTTCTTTAAGAATGTGGGGTGAACAGGCCAATCGCTGGAAGGTTAAGAGAAATTCAAGTTTCGTGGTAAAATCTAGATTAAAAGAGTCATCTAAATGGGATATGATGACTTCCAAATCTTCAAGAATATTTTAATTAGCAGAACAAAATTATTTGAAGTAAAAATAACAAAACAAAGAATAATTAAAAGAAGAAATAGTTGAATGCAGCCGAAACCCCTAATTTCTGAACGACTGGACGATATTTCTTTTATCTATTGAATGTCGATCAATAGAAAAAATGATTGATCACATGATTATTCATTTTATTTATGGAATATTCAATGCAAATTGAACTCGTCCAGAAATTGACCTGTTTACTCCACCTCTTTCTCTTTGCAACGAGCCCAGAATCAGCTCAATTAATTAATTTATCTTCTAGTTATGAATATTATATAGCAAAATGCTCGGAGTGTCCATTTTGCCCCACCTGCCTCGATTCTTACCATTCGAATGCTTTTTTCCCTCGTTTTTTGAAGAATGTATTCCAGTAATCGGCTTTACTGAACTCTTCGTGACACTTCGGCAATAGATTCATGTTTCAAAATTATGTTTTTCTGAATTATTCTATTGTATGCGGCTTTTCTTTCAATTTTTTAAGACCCAATTATTGTTAAGCCGCTGTCAACAATGTGAGGTTAATAAACACTGGAAAGAACATGGAACGAATGAGGCTGGAAAGGTAGGAAATGTTTTTTAATTACTGTTGGACAGACTTTTATGTAACGCCGATTCATTTTTTATCACCCAGTGGGAAAGAATCGGACTGTTTTACCAGGGAGGGCAATGTTCACAGATAACATCCTGCATCTGGGAGAGTTTACTGTATTTCTATCCCAAAGTGTGTATCGTCGAGGTGAGCCCCACCCAGTTGTGACCGAACCCCATCGTTATTTTAATTTTTTCCTCCATTTTTAATATTTCTTCGAAGTTTGGAAAACGTTGGTAATAAAAAATGGACAGAGAAGAGAAAGTACAAGTGGTGAGAAGCGCGATAAAAACGTACAAAAATTTTCCCAAGGAGGGAATTATTTACAAGTGAGTTTGGCGCATGTTACCACGTGGCACTCAACACATTGAGGTTCATTCTGCACGTGTGCACTGAGAGAAAATACAAGTTCCTCAATCCATTTTTTTAACAAAAAATTGAACGCATTCATTTTTTGGTACAAGAAGTTGAATTTTTTCAGAGTCTAGGGGAGGTTGGGGTAAAACGGACACTTGACTTTTTTTTAAATGTCAGTGAGGGCTTGAAATGTTGATAAAATTTAATAATTTTTTTTTCAATACAAAGAACAATTCTTTGCCTTTGTGATGAGCCTAAAATGAGCTCAATTGATCAATTTGTTTCTGAGTTATTAATAATTTAAAAAAGTCTAAAGTATCTGTTTTACACCACCCACCCCTATAACAATTTTCCTGCAAAGAATAGTAAATAATAGTCGACTCTCTGTATAAGAATCAACCAATTAAACAGTTTGGTGTCTCTACCACTTGCGTTTATGTTTAAAAAAATTGAGCAAGAGACCTACATAAGGTATTCCATGCCAAATGAGTCAGTGGCTGACCCTCGCCCTTTTGGAAATTGATCTCGATTTTTTCTACGATTGAGGGACTAGGAAAACTCATCTCGCAATTTTTTCCGATTTTTTCGTTTTTTTTCGATAACTGGCTCTATTCACCCGATTTTAATTTGACGGCTCAAAATTTTCCATTTGTTATCGCGTAATCAAAATTTCAGTTTCCCATTTTTTCCCTTTCTGCCCGTCCTCAGTAATAATACCAATAATAATAGCAATGATAGCTGAGCTCAATTATTCTTGACTCACTCTTTCATTTGAGCCCAAAAAAACATTCATCTCTTGTCTGACATCGCTGCTACAAACTCGGGTTTTCAATTGAATAGAGCTCCTAGACAGTGCAATGACTCACTAATTTTTTTTTCATTCAGGGATGTTTTTGGAATTTTCCAAAATGTAACTGCAATGAAAGCTCTGAAGGATCTCCTGGTGGAGCATTCCTCCTCCTTGGAGCTGGATATAATCGTTGGTCTCGACTCCAGAGGATTTCTAGTGGGTCCTCTCATCGCTCTAGAACTTGGAAAACCGTTCGTGCCTATTAGGAAAAAGGGCAAATTACCAGGAGATGTTGCTGAGGAGAGTTTCGCACTGGAGTATGGAGAGGTATTTTTCAACAATTTTTATTCTTAAACTTGTGATCCTTCGGTTACACATTTCATTCTTATTTTCTTCTATCCAAAGGCAACATTTGAGATTCAAACTGAGAGCATCAGCAGTGGCAAGAGGGTGCTGATTGTCGATGATCTGCTGGCAACTGGAGGTATTCAAAATAATCCAACAATAAGTCGAAAAATTGAGAAGCAAAAAATCCATCGAACACGAGAATTAAATAAAATTGGATTTTCTTATTCTCAGGATCAATGGCAGCTGCAGTTCAATTGCTAAAATCTCTCGAAGTTGATGTTGTCGAGTGTCTCGTCATCATGGAACTAGTCTATTTAGGTGGACGATCCAAACTGAAAGCTCCAGTATTCTCCTTAGTCAAATACGACTGACTCTCAGTTCAAATTTCTCAGAAATATTTTGACTAAATCCTTACATTGAATTTCTAATTTCAACTTTTTAACAGAAACATTCCACTCAAGCATTTGTGCACAATAAAAGGCATATTTTTATATCCATAAGTTATACCGAGAATATTTTAAAAAATATAGGATTTATATTGAACGTCAGTTATTTACAATGGAATACTTTTTTCATTTCTCAATGAATGAAAGCTTGAATTTTTTCATTTTATTTTTCATCTCGAATTCCTGAGACCTTGCAGGAAGGTCTCCACCTCTTCTTCAAGTGTCTCCACGTCCTCCACCAATTTCTCGTAGTTATTGCTCTTCCCCCGAGGTCTTGTACGAATGACTTTGCTTTTGGCACTTCTAGGTTTTGAAGTTACATTCTTCGTTGGATGCAGAAGAGTCTCAGACGATAATTTTGTTAATTTATCGCGTTCGGAATCCAAATTCATCTTTGTTAATTTCAGCTGCTCGTTGTAACACTTTTGAAGCTCTGAAAATATATTTCTTCATTGAATAGTCCATTATTTTCATATATTATTTGCAAGAAAAAGATGTATGAAAAAAAAACAACTCTAATGCTCCATTCTCATAAATTACATACCATGAAGTCTCTTCTGGTGGATCTCTTGTAGAAAATTTTCGCTTTCTTCCTTCAATTTTTTCTCCTCCAACTCTCTAGCCATTTTTCTCCTCTCTTCCTTCACTAGCAATTCCTCCTGCTTCATGTCCAACAATTGCTTCACATTTCCCAAATTTCCAATCAAGAATTTGGGATATTCCTTGAGGAGAAATGGTGGATAGGGTCCACTTGCAGGTAGAAATTTCAGATTGTCTCTATGAAATTGATAAAACAAAAAATTAATAGACTAGCCAAGTTTTTTTTACAAGTTTTGTTATTCATTTATTTTTATTCTCATTTTTTCCAAAAAAAAAAAAGATTGAAAAATAGTTTTTGGGTACAACAAATATTCAACTAACGGAAAATTAATCGACTAGCTAAGTTTTTCTTACAATTTTTGTTATTCATTTATTTTTATTCTCATTTAAAAAAAAAAGATTGAAAAATAGTTTTTGGGTACAACAAATATTCAACTAACGGAAAATTAATCGACTAGCTAAGTTTTTCTTACAATTTTTGTTATTCATTTATTTTTATTCTCATTTAAAAAAAAAAGATTGAAAAATAGTTTTTGGGTACAACAAATATTCAACTAACGGAAAATTAATCGACTAGCTAAGTTTTTTTGACAAGTTTTGTTATTCATCTATTTTTATTCTCTCATTTTTAAAAAAAAAAAAAAAAAAAAGATTGAAAAATGGTTTTTGGGTACAACAAATATTCAACTAACAGAATTGAATGAATAAAAATCCTATCAATCTCTTTGAATGCAATTCTATTTCACCATTTCATCACGTGAAATGTCAATTTTTTTTTCTGAAAACTGGCTGTGAGCTCCATGTAAGTTCCCTCTTCAAAAACAGCATTGAGCACGGAATAAATACCTCAAGTACATCCTGGGGTGATTCTTCTCCGAGACTTCCCTGTCAATTCTCTCCGCCACCCTAATGATCTTCCTCGCCGAGACGGGCCCCTGCGTTCCAAAGAACACCTGGAAGTCCTCCTTATCCTCCAAAATCCCCACAATGGCCTCCCTATTACACACGCTGTACGCCACAACGCAGAGTATCAGCATGGACGGTCGCCCAATGGTTATCAGATGGTCCCACAGTATCATCCACTCCCGTCCCGCCAACACTTCGCTGAGACTGGTCTTCAGTAGCGGCCAGGCGTACTCAGCTAACGAAAGGTGCAGATTGATTTCATTAATTATGAACCTCCTCAATTCAAACGGAGTTAATTAAACTCTGACTAAACACAGATATTTATAGTGCAAATCAAAATATTGGTTAATTATGATTGATAATCACTAATTCGATATTTTGATACAATAGTCTGTTATGATTATTAAATTTAGTAGCGAAGTGGTAAAGCGGTTCAAGTCGACTCATCTCCCAGTTGGGTTTTTGAGGAATATTTCCGAATCTACGGGAAATAGCGAAATTTTCGTAATTATATTTGTTGTAGCTCTCAATCGGTTCTATAAAAAAGGTTATAACAAAAATTTTGCTATCTCCCTCAAATTCCGAGATATTCATTGAAAACTGGTCAATAATCAAAATTGACAATCATATCTCTGAAATGGATTGTCTAAAAAATCGGAAAAGAATTGAGAGATAGTTTTTAATTAACTCATCTGGTAGTTATTTCATACTTTTCTCGCAAATTCATCATTACTTCAATTTTTGCGAAAATTTGGAGGTGGCCCATTTTGCCCACCCTGCCCCGTTTTGTCCTGCCCTCCCCTAATTATAATTTTAATTAAGACTTTTTTATGCTAGTTGTTAATACGTGTAGGGAAGGTTGGGGTAAAATGGACACTTTTGACTTTTTTAAAAATGTTAATGACGGCTTGAAATGTTGATAAAATTTAATCAAAATATTGGTTAATTATGATTGATAATCACTAATTCGATATTTTGATACAATAGTCTGTTATGATTATTAAATTTAGTAGCGAAGTGGTAAAGCGGTTCAAGTCGACTCATCTCCCAGTTGGGTTTTTGAGGAATATTTCCGAATCTACGGGAAATAGCGAAATTTTCGTAATTAGATTTGTTGTAGCTCTCAATCGGTTCTATAAAAAAGGTTATAACAAAAATTTTGCTATCTCCCGCAGATTCCGAGATATTCATTGAAAACTGGTCAATAATCAAAATTGACAATCATATCTCTGAAATGGATTGTCGAAAAAATCTGAAAAAAATTGATAGTTCTTAATTAACTCATCAGGTAGTTATTTCATACTTTTCTCGCAAATTCATCATTACTTCAATTTTTGCGAAAATTTGAGGTGTCCCATTTTGCCCACCGTGCCCCGTTTTGTCCTGCCCTCCCCCAATTATAATTTTAATTAAGACTTTTTTATGCTAGTTGTTAATACGTATAGGGGAGGTTGGGGTAAAATGGACACTTTCGACTTTTTTAAAAAATGTCAATAACGGCTTGAAATGTTGATAAAATTTAATAAGTTTCTTATTCATTGCAAAGACCAATTCTTTCCCTTTGTGATGACCCTAAACTGAGCTCAATCGATAAATTTGTATCAGAGTTATGAGTAATTAAAACAAAAGTCTGAAGCGTCCATTTTACCCCACTCTCCCCTACACTGTCAATATTGACTCGTTATTGATTGAAAACGAATAAAAAATGAAAGTCACAGGTACTCACTCGAAGTGACGCCACGTTGACAGTAAAACTCCAGCAACTGGGGGTCAACTTCCCCGAGGATGTTCTCAACGATCCCCAGGACGTTGATGGGCGGCAGAGGATGATACTCGAACCACTTCTGACAGAAGTTCCACAACACCACGAGCACCGCCTCGAACCCGGCGATGGGATCCCTCCGAAAGGCCACGATAAACGGAAAAACGAGCTCCGGTAGAAACGCCGTCTGCCCCAAGAGCGGACAGAACTGAATCAGCCTCTCAATCGTCACCGAGAGCAGCATCTCCCTGCTCTTATCGGCGAGCTTCCACTCCCTCAGCATCTCAACTTCAGTCTCGAGAAGAGTCTTCTCGGACAAACCGAGATACTCAGGCCTATTCTCCGGGAGCCTGAGGAGAGTCTTCCAGATGAGGGCCCTGTGGCGCTCGGGGTATTCCCCGAACTCCTTGAGAATCGGCCGGAGTCGTTTCAACTCAAGCTCCACCTGGAATCCGCTTCTCACGCATTTCAGGTGATCGTGAACTCCGTGAGACTGGATTTGCGCCGATTTGAGGGCCTTGGGAGACTTCGGGGAGGGTTTAACGAGGTTATCGACGGAGGATAGCACCAGGGAGCCATCGAAGGTGATGGTCGCCAGCCACTGACCCCCGGGGGACACGACAGCCTTCCTGATTCCCGCCAAAGGCCCCTCCAAAGTCGGCACAAAACACCTCTTCGATAGATCGAAAAACCGCAGGCGGCCATCTTCAAACAAAATGGCCACCATTTTACAGCTGTAGTCCACCACCTGAGGAACGGCAAACAGCCTTCTTGCCACTGAATTGCCGTCCGGCAACTCGAATTTACACGTCAAACTCCAGGATTTTGTGTTGTAAATCAGAATTCTACGTTTGCCACCGCAAATTACTATAGATCTGCCGTTTTCCGTGAAGATAAAGTCTTTGGCGTTGCGGACGCCATTTTGGTTTATCGATATGCGGTTCTCGGAGGAGAATAGCTCGAAGAGCCAGGACTGAATGACATCGGTGTCGTAGAGGACTACGATCACTCCGTTTGGGGAGATGAGGGCCTTTTTTATCGAGGACTCCTTCGTCTCCAGTCGCAATTGGTGGATTTTTTTCGCTGTCTCCAGGTCCCATATTACCGCCTCTTTTCGAGAGGCTGTGAGACAGTAGTTTTTGTAGAAGGAGATCCAGGTCGGGGGGACCTGGTGCGCCTTGAGGAGGCAGTACTTTTGGGGGGAGAAGTCGTTTGAGTTGAGGAGTTTTATGTCTTTTGAGGTTAAACCGATGATTAACTCGTTTTTTTGGATCGGGCTGAAGGAGACGAAGGTGGATTGACCCACTGGGCCTAGTTTTTTTACCCACCAGTCGCCAGATATCAGGTGGAGCTGGTAGCTCACCCCTTTTGTATCGATTGCTATCAGCGTCTCTTCGTCCTCGCGGAAGGTTATGTGTTGAAAGTTCTTGCGGAGAAGGCACTTTGAGGGGTTTTTCAGGGTTAATTTGTACTTTTCACGACCGATTTTTTGGAGCTTCGAGGAACACTCGGGGATCATTTCACCACTGAGTTTGTTTTTGAGGGGTTATGGTTTCTGTTGATGTTTTGGAGTCACTGACGCGTATCCATGGCGACGGCAATGGCGTGCGTCCTGATTCAAATAGACTATTTGAATGAATCAGTTTTTTAACGCTGATTAAGTTTTTCGAGGCTTTTTTCGCGGGGAATGGCCACAATTGCTTCTGCAGGAAGACAATTTTGTGAATTTATCTGGTAATGTGGTTTTAGGGCTGGGAGTTGGGAAAGGTTTCGAAGGACTCGGAAGACCGCACTGATCGGAGGAGAATTTTGCACTGATGAGTGTGCAGAAGTGAATGGAAGCTAACGGTATTCGGTGAGTAGTTGGGGTTCTTGGGGATTAAGGAAGGAGGGGGAGGCAATTGCATTTTGGGGGGTATTTGGGGCCCGATGAGTCCGCCAGGTACCTGCGAGGCCCGGATTGTTTGAGTGACCGTTCAAAATTATGTTTTTAAAAATGATTTTCAGTGTTGAATGACGAGAAAAATTGCATAATTGGAAACCCTAGTGCGCGCAGTCGCTATACACAATTCTTTTCATTTATTTTGTATTGAATTTTTTTTTGAATTTTTTTTTTGTGTTGAAATTATTCTACTGGAATATTTCGTGTACAATTTTTTCTGCCTAAATTTTCTCGGTCAAATCGTTTGACCGAGTGCGGAGATGAAGACGATTTTTGCAATTTAAAAATGTATTTTTATTTATTTATTCGTCTCTGATGTTACAAATGAAATTCAATATTTTTCTTCTTCAATATAAAGAGCATTTCTTTCCCTTTGTAATGAGCCTAATTTGAGCTCAATTGATAAATTTGTTTCTGAGTTATGAGTAATTTTACAAAAATCTAAAGTGTCCATTTTACCCCATCCTCCCCTATACATAGATGTAAAACAATTTTTTCTGCCTAAATTTTCTCGGTCAAATCGTTTGACCGAGTCCGGAGATGAAGACGATTTTTGCAATTTAAAAAGGTATTGTTTTTTATTTATTCGTCTGATGTTACAAATGTTTTTCTTTGTTTTACACCTATGTATAGGGGAGGATGGGGTAAAATGGACACTTTAGACTTTTGTAAAATTACTCACAACTCAGAAACAAATTTATCAATTGAGCTCAAATTAGGCTCATTACAAAGGGAAAAAAATGCTCTTTGTATTGAAGAAAAAAAATATTGAATTTCATCAACATTTCAAGCTGTCATTAACATTTTTAAAAAAGTCAAAAGTGTCCATTTTACCCCAAGCTCCCCTACGTAGGGGCGGGTGGGGTAAAACGGACACTAGACTTTTTTTTCAATTACTCATAACTCAGGAACAAATTTATCAATTGAGCTCAGCTTAGTCTCATTAGAAAAGGGAAAGAATTGTTCTTTGCATTAGAGAAAAATTTATTGAATTTCATCAACATTTCAACCTGTTATTAACATTTTAAAAAAAAGTCAAATGTGTCCATTTTACCCCAGCCTCCCCTGTAAGCTAATTATATTTTTTGAAGTGGAGCAGCTCAATTAGGAATGTTTCTGAAAATATTTGAACTTTTTTCGCCTACTGTATTTCATTGCAAAGACATTGCAATGCTTTTGAACGTGGTGGTAGGTTTGCCGATCACGCAAAAGGAGTTCCCAGATTTTGGGTCTCGATTTGTAGACACTGAGGATTAACATCGGCGGGAGACCGGTGTGTCCCTTGCAGGGCGAGGGAATGGTGCTGACGCGTGGTTTATGATAGAAAAGTCCGGCGAGGGGGCGGGGCGAGGAGTATTGTGATCCATAAAATCAATCATTTTACAATTTTTTTATTGGTTAATTAGGGGAGGGTGGAGTAAAATGGACACTTTTGACTTTTTTAAAAATATTCGTAACTCAGAAACAGATTTATCAATTGAGCTCAGTCTAAGCTCATCACAAAGAGGAGTGATTGTTTTTCAATTGAAAAATAAAATTATTCCATTTCACGAACAATTCAACACGTCATGAATATTCCAAAAAAAGTCAAGTGTCCGTTTTACGCTACCCTCCCCTATACACGGCGAGAAATTCGTTGGAAAAACTCTAGTGCTGTTAAAGTCAAATTTCTAGGGATTTCTGATAAAATTTTCGGGGATTTTACTGAAAATTTCATATAAGAACGGGAAAAATTCACGTGCTACTCAATAAAATGTCCAGTGCCGGCCCAAAAATGATCTTTAAAATATTTAAAATATATTCTTGATTCTTTCAGAAACATTTTTCGGTGTATTTTACATGAATAGTGCAATTTTTTATTAAAAAACAAAATTAGCTATGTAGGAGTTGAATTGCAAAAAACTAATACGTAATTGTTATTGCGCAATTTTCTCAAAAAATTATTTAAAAAAAAAATCTCTGTAGCGCAAAAATCAGAGGCCCTGGACTACTTTTAATCTTTGAAGCGTTGGGGCAAACGAACAATAAACAATTAATTTTTTTGCACTAATTATTCGTTTTTAGACATATATAATCAATCGTCAATGTACTTTTAAATCTCATAGTCGTCTCCCGCCCTTAAACGATAAAAAAACTCAATTGCAGGATTCTTATTAGGAATTCAAACATTTATTAATCTTTAGTATTACCAATGACAAATAATTGTACCCCCAAATGCTCGGTTTTCACCGTGTAAATGGGGAGAAGTGAAGTTTTCCCTGAAGTTTCATTCTCGTCATCAGTTCTCATGATCCAGGGAAAATCCTCACACTTTGGGTTCTCCGAGAGGCTCACAAGAGCTGCCTCGTGGGTTTCGAGTTCAATGGAGAATTTACAGTCCTCGGGAAGGGGTTTCAGGTACGAATCCATCATCGAGAGCTTCAGACAGACTGTCCTCAAGGATTCTTCTGTCTTCAGAAAATATGGATCACATCTTGAACAAAACGAGAAACAAATGGAAATGTTTCCAGCGCTTGGGAATTAAAAATTGAAAAATTATTTTGTGGAGATGGGGTCGTCTTTGATACTGACTCTGTTGCATCAATTTGTATCTGCAATAAATCGAAAACAAATTTTTCCACGAGAATGTCATCACTATCGACAATTATGAAATTCAGGCGTTTGATACTGGTGATGTCTGCTGTGAGAGCCTCTCTGACGGCCTCAAGAACATTCTTCAAGTACTCGTTCACCTCAGGGTGCTCAGATATCCAGACTCCAGCCCCATAGATCTTCTTTCTACCGAAAATCTCAGTGGGATAAATTTTCCTGTGATATAGGATTCCGTGAAATGCTACCTCCAGGTATTCTAGAAGAATATCAGTGCTCACTGCAAAAAAATAATATTTTTCATCAAACGAAATCGTTAAAAATATGAAAAGAAAACAATGAATTTTGTGGAAAGAAATAATGTTGCTCGTAAGTAAATTATTTATTTTTATTTACTTACTCATTTTTTTTTAATTCCACCGAGTGAAAATAAAAATTAATTAGTTGAATGAAAACTACCGCAACTTTTATTGATTTTTTTCAAATTCAAATTATTTTATTTCACTAAAATGATGTGAAAAATAACAAAATCTGGTAAACAAATTTTTAAAAAACTGAATTATCTATTTTGAATTTTATTCCGTGAAACACTCGTCAATAATATTCTATGATGAAAAATTATTATAATTTTCCATTTTCAGTGTTTTGTAATTCATAACCTCAAAATTCTTCAGAGCAAAATTTTTCTCTCATATTTAATTACTATTTTAGAAAATTAATTAATTCATTAGGATTAGTGCATACGTGGGATTTACCTATTTGACACTGTGACATTTGGAGCTCTCGGCCGACTCTCAAAAAGCCCTCTTCGATTTGCAAGTGCAAGTGAAAATTGGCGGGAGAATGATCTCCAATATGGCGGCCACTGTTGGCGTAGCACCTCACGGCTGCACAACTTTGGGGGGGAAAAGTCGGGAAAAACGGTAAACGGTTCGATGTCAGGAGCTTTGACAAGTTTTTAGCCTGTGTAAGTGAATGTTTTGATATTATTTCCATTGAATTGTGATTTTAACCGTATATTTGTGCATTTTGAATGATTGGTAATGGTGGAAATAATTATTACAAGGTGGTTTATCCAGTCTGTGAGTGGAAATTGTACTTCTCGACAGTTGTATCGTTCATCGGCACCAGATTCTAACCTCAAATGTTGTAGTTCCATCATTCAAATGGATTTTCGATTTTAAATCGAATAATTACTGGATTTAATCAAGTTTAATGATGAATTTTATTGAAAAAAAATTGTGATTTTTTTTTCACTGAAATTCTTTGGAAATTCTGGTCGTTTTGGGGGGTGATTTTGATAGCAGATGATTCCACTATCATTGGGATTTTTTTTGTTTATTTGAATGGTTGGGGATCATTTTTTCATTGTAATAGTTATGAGAAACAGTTTTTCGAGGTGGAAATGTGGGGTTTCGTTGATGGGGAGAGGGAGGGCATCGTGAGCATTTTATTACGTCTTGGGAAATTGATTGTTGACAGTTTTCAAGGGGTCAAAAGGTTTGGAAAATTGGTATTCCTGATGATTTTACAGCTGCTGAGGGATGGGGTTGCGTACAACAATGATTTTTCAAACTTTGCACTTCATTTTTTAACAAAAAAACAAATTTTCAATTTTTTTCGTATTTTCTTAAATTAAAAAAAATTCTGAAATGTCCACATTGAGAAGATTTATTCATAGGAGGACAGGGCAGAAGGTGAATTAACAATGACAATGATGAATTAAATATTTAGTCTCGAAAAAACACATCTGTTATAAAAAAAATTGATTTGATTTAATTTATATTTTTATCAAATGTGTTTTCTTCGTTGATGGATTCGATGGAGGGATTCTAGCCCTGATTTTCCATTAATTAATGGTACTTTCTTCTACAGATTTGAATTGATGAAAAAACTAAAGTGAAAATGCCACCGGTTAAGAAAGTCGATCTCGAGAGGATGGCATGGAGTTGGATTGAAACAGTAGTACCAGAAGAAATCGAGAAGGTCCACCTAGAGAATGCGTACAGAATAGGATTAAAAAATTGTAAAAATTGCAAGTGAGTGAAGAATGAATTTCTAAAAGCCAATTAAACATTGTAAAAGTCCAAAAGGATTTTTTTCAACTGGAAGTCCTGAGATTTCCTCAACAAGACATAAAAAATTGTTTTAAGAAGTAACTATAATTATTAAAATGTTTCAGACGTAATTGCAGTAACAATCCATGCTGCCTGACTGGTTTAGGCGAGGAAAAGTACTTCAAATCACAGCCAGCCGAGGTGGCATCGCTGGAAAGTTCATTATCCGAACTGAGGGATCCAACTCAATACGTTGGTCTCAAAAATCTTGGAGCCACGTGCTATGTCAATAGTTTAATTCAAGTTTGGTTTCATAATGAAGATATGAGGTAATTCCTTCAATCATTGAACAGTTTCCGCTTGTAAAAACTATTCAGACCTCTAAAGTTGAAGAAACATTAAAAATCTAGGAAAAATGTTTTCCAAGACTTTCCAAAAAAATTAAAAACCCTGTCTCTTCCAGACGAATAATCTACAAATGGGACATAACAGCAGACCCCGAGGAATCCGAGTACTTGCAGCACTCCCAATCCCTGAAAACCCCCTACCACCCCCGAACAGTAGTAGGCCAGCTGCAGTACATCTTCGCGATGATGCAGTTTGGTAACAAACGACTGCTGGACCCCACGAGCCTAGCGATTGCCCTGTCCCTGGACACAGACACCCAACAAGACGCCCAGGAGTTCTCAAAACTTCTCCTCGCTCACATCGAGAACAAACTCACAAGCCTAACTCTAAAGTCTCGTCTGCAACGGCTAACTCAGGGGACCTACATCTACGTAAACCGATGCTCAACCTGTTCCACTGAGTACCAGACACCCACGACATTCTACGAGCTTGATCTCCAGCTTGCTCCAACCCTGAAGGAGGCCATGGACAACTACCTCAGCGAGGAGGAGCTAGTTGGTGCCAACAAATACCACTGCCAACATTGCAATGAAAAACAAAATGCCAAGAGATTTATCAGACTTGACTCCCTCCCAGAGACCCTAAACTTCCAACTCTTGAGATTTGTTTTTCACCGAGAGAGTGGACAGAAGAAGAAACTATCGTCATTCATACAATTCCCTGAGGATCTGGACATGTCGGAGTACTTGAACTGCCCAGCAGGTGCCCATTTGTACTCATTGGTTGCTGTTTTGAGTCATAAGGGACCATCCGCCCACTCTGGCCACTACATCGTCAACATCTGCAATTCCTCGGGGGAGTGGTATCAGTTCAGTGACGACAAAGTCGAGAAGACCCAGAATAAGAGGATTGAGGATGGCATCGGGGACAATGGGAAGGTCGCCAAGAGGTCCAGGGTGCCCAAGGGCTTTCTCTCCTCCAACACTGCCTACATGTTGGTTTACAAGAAGAACCTGGGGGATGGCAAAGCCAGGAGGCCCCTGGACAATGGGAAGAGGAAGGAGACCAGCGATTCAGATTCATCAGGGCCTATTTTCAGTCCTGTGAAGAAGTCCAAGCTTAAGAGGAAGGGGAGGAAGAAGATCAGGGGGGATGAGGAGGGGCTGGATGATCATAATTCTGTGGATGAGGGGAAGGATGGAGTCATGAATGATGAGGATCTCAAGGAAGAGGGGATTTTTTGTGGGAAAGAGGAAGTTGAGAGATGTTTGTCTCCTCCTGGTGCTCGTGATGATAAAAATGGCGAGATTGAACTCACGATGAAGGAGAATTATCATAAGAATTATCAGATGCTCAATGGCGATGCTCACAGGGCCATGGGCTGTGGTGAGAGGGATTATTATGAGGCCATGGAGTTTCAGATGTGGGAGCTGAGTGAGACGCTGAGGGAACTTGTTAAAGGGGAGAATGTTGCTCATGAGTTGAGTCTTCTTGCTGTTCAGGAGGAGAAGCAGAAGAAGATTGAGGAGAAGAATGTCAAGAGGCAGGAGGTCATTGATTTTTATGAGGCATGGGGAAAGTGCGAGGGTGTGGGGGAGAGATTTGTGTGGATTCCTACGAGTTTTATCAGCAAGTGGCTTAATGATCATTCGGGGAGCAATGAGGGAGTGGGGGAGGTGGAGACTGGGGGCCTCATGTGTCGACATGGGAAGATGGACCCGGGGAAGGTGCATAAAGCCAAGTGTGTGCCTTTGGCCGCGGCTGAGAGGCTTCTGGGGAAGTTTGAGATGAGGGAGAGACTTGGTGAGGAGAGCCTCTGCTTGGCATGCGTCAGGAAGAAGTGCAAGACGATGAGGTTCAAGATTGAGCTGGAGAGGGATCACAAGGAGGTGCTGGAGTCTATTAAAGTGATTAAAGAAATGTAAGTTGATAGTTTTTTGGGTTTCGAGATTTGAAAATAAATGGACTTCGAAATTGGAAATTCCAATTATAGGAGTTTCAGGAGAAATTAGAATGCTTTATGAAATGTTTTTTTCTTTTAATTATTTTTTAACGTAGACTAGAACAATTGGCGAGATAAATGGAACTCTAGTTTTAGAATTTTGTAGATGACACTGTTTTTGTCATCAACTAATTTCTATTCTTTTTCATGTTGTTTTAGAACTGATGATAGTTACATAATCGGGGCAGACTCGTTAAAACACTGGAGAAAATTAGCAATGGAGCGTTTGGAGGGTGAAACGAGTCATGAGAATGAAGTAGAGCACACGAACGATCAAAAGCCCTCCAACGATAATCAGAAAGAAGAGATGGAGGAGGAATCAGAACCCATTATGAATTTTAATGAGGATCTTCTGTGTGAACATGACGGATTGAGAATTCCAGATGCTAGTAGGAAAATCGTACCAGGTGCTGCCTGGAGAATCCTTAAAAAGTATTTTCCAAAGGCTGCTGAGTATCCTGTTGGCACAAATTCATGTATTATTTGCGAGGAGAAAAATGAAACTGCTGAGAAAGCCAAGGCTGATCATAAAATTTGGGGGAAGCTGCAGAAGGACCACTTGAGTGAACTTTATCACGGGAAAAATAGAAACGAAGTCATCAAGGATAAGAATTGTCATAAAGTCTACTTCATCGTTGATAAAGGATTTGTGGATGTTTGGAAGACATTTACTCGGTGAGTCATTGATTTTTATTCAATTTATTGAGGAAATACAAGTGTGCAGAATTGCATAAGGCACTTTTTTAATTCAGTCGTAATTGGCATCTAAGCCATTTTTTTCAACTGAATTGTTCGCTGTCTATACTTATAAATAAATCATGGAAGTAGTTTATAATTTGGGGAAATTTTTTTTTTATCATTAAAATGATTACTAAAGCTATTACCAGTTTGAAAAAATTATTTCTAGGGGAGGAAATATATTGTTCATGAATTTTTTATAACAGAAATTCTTCATTTTCGATAATAGAAAATTCGCAATCTTGTTTTTTTGAGGTTTCTTGAAATTTTGTAATGATTTAAAATAGAAAACTAAGCTCAGATTACAATTTAATTGGGAATTTTGAGAGGAATTTTAACAAAAAAAAATCGAAAAAATGCCTAGTCTTATTCTATGAAATCTCACGAACATTTTCACAAAAAAAAAAATTTTAATCGAATGAAAATTGTGGTGCGAGGAGCATTTCGAAGCCAAAAACACGAAAAACTATGGGGTAAAATGGATTGGGCACAAACCCCCCCATTCTAATTCTTCTTGAAGCAAAATGGCTGAATTTACTATCTCAACTGGGGTTCCCTCCTTTCCCTAATGACCCAAGCCATTTTGCCCCGACTTCATTTACACTCTGAATGGATTTTCACGTCCCTCGTAATTATTTCGTTTCAATTAATTCTGACTCCCAATTGCCAAGAAAAATTGATGGATTTTCCTGGACGTGTTGAGGAGGTTTTTTCTTAATTGTCCAATGAGATGTGGGGGGGGGG